ACGCGCGTTTGCGTGTTTCTAATTTTAGCTCTGGTTCGCCGCTGACTCAACATTGTGTTGCTGTTGCCACGTCACGTTTGATTGGTTGGTTTTTAAAGTGACTCTTTCGTACTGAAGAATAGCTGCCAACCAACTTGTACGTCGAATACGCATTTCATACGTTTTTAAGGGCCTGAGTTTGTGGTTTGTTGGTCGGTGCTCTTTTGTGACTTGCTTCTTCTTTCCTGCCAAACATCTATCGTCCTTATCTCTCCTCCTCCTTCTTTGTGTTTGTTGCTCTTTTGTAACTCATCTATTCTTCGGCACTTAAGATTATGACCGCATTGTGTTGCAAATGTTGTAAAACACTTATCAAAAGCAAGGGTCTTATTACGGAAGTCCGTTTTTTTCTGCACGGGTGGTTGGCGGGTGCTCTGGTATGGTTTGCTGTTCCTTCTTTCCTATCACACAACTGTCGTCTTTATAGATCTCCCCTCCTTCTTTTTTTGTGTTTGTTACTCTCTTGTAACACCTCTAATCTTCGGCACTTATATGACCTTATTGTGTTGCAAGTGCCGTAAAACTCTTACTAAAGCTAAATTATTTTCTGCACCGGCGTCTGTGGTGTAGCGGTTAGGCGCCCCGCTGTTGCACGCTGGAGACCCGAGTTCGATTCCCCGAATGGAGTGAACATTTTTATCGAGTTTACCACCTCGGTCTTTCTGATGGGACTTTGCTTGGGACCCTCTCTCAGCTCGGGGTTGGCCTTGACAGGCAGGGTTGGAAAGTGGGTGGTTGGCGTGTGTCCTGATGTGGTTTTGCTCCTTCTTCCCTATCAAACGTATATCGTCCGTATCTCCCCTCCTACTGTTTTTATGTTTGTTACTCTTTTGTGACACGTACCTAATCTTTGGCACTTATATGACCTAATGCAGTTGCGAGCGCCGTAAAACCTCTACTAAAACTAAAGGGTTGGAGACCCGCCTCCGAAATGCGCTGTCTGTCTTACTTTTTTACCCCATCACTGAATGATCATCATTGTGCCGATGCGCTTCTTATTACACAAACAAACAAACAACCGTTGGTGGTTGGCAGGTGCTCTGGAATGGTTTGCTCCTTCTTTCCTATCAAACATCTTTCGTCTTTATCTCTCCTCCTTCTGTTTTATGTTTGTTACTCTCTTGTGACACGTGTCTAATCTGTGGCACTTATTTGACCTTATTGTGTTGCAAGTGCCGTAAAATTCACTAAAGCTAAAAGAACAAACAAACAAACGAACGAACAAACACCCGAATAAACAATTCTATTTTCTAGTATTTTTCCTCGTGGTTCGTTATGATGCTGAAGAAAAGTTATGAACTTAAGACCCGGATTTGCGAATGTTAATGAGGACGAAGTCCATACGTGAATCATTGGAGGGAGCTCTCTAGTTTGAATAGTTTAAGTTTATTACATGTAGAGATGTCTTAATGTGTGTGTGTGTGTGTTTGTGTGTGTGTGTGTGTGTGTGTGTGTG